AAAATGAGGAACAAAGTAATTTTTTATATCTAATAAAACTTATAAATAGGAACCTGTCAAAAAGAGATACTATGTTTCTTTTTGCTATTTCATTTTTTTTTTGTTGTTCATAAAAATATAGTATGTAAATAAAGTTGTAAACAGAAAACTAAATAATATTAAAAAGGTAACAGTATTTAAAAAGAGCCCATAGAGATCAATATGCCGATTTCAAAAAAAACCCCCCGTGAACTTTCTAGACTTCACTAAAAAAATGAAACTCTAAAAGTCTGTGGGTATTTTTAGCCGCGTGGTATTTAGGCCGGTTTTGCTAACTTTTGCAAAATATAGGGAAATAATTTTTGAGTTGAGTAAAACATGTTACTCCGGTAACTAATTTCAGTATTTCTTAGCACATTTGTATTTTTGGTCAAGATTTCGGAATATTTAGAAAAATATTGAGGATCGATTTCCATAATTTTTCAGCACAATAATTTTGGAAATTGTATGTACCGACGGTTTTGGTAACATCAAATTCTGCTATAAAAAATACAACACAAAATTTCGTTTTGTTGTATATTTCCTTCAAAGTCAACAAGAGGGTAGACCCTCTTTTTGCATTGGGAAAGAAATTGTTTGTTGTGATTTATCAGATTACTCTAATTTTCACTCACATTACTCCGATTGACATCCAAAACTCTGGCTCTGGTTAATATACGTCAATCAAAAACGCTGTCTTCAATTTTTCGGCTCCAGAACAGATTTTCTTGTGTGTCTGCGGCTCTGCGCATTTGCCAACTCGTAAAAAGGAATTGCTTTGCGAATATTCGACAATGTTTCAAATACAACTGGCAGCATATTTTGAAATTGTGTGGGAATAAACTGTTCCAAAATTTCTCAAGAAATATACTAAAATATTCCTCTATATTTTTTAGGGCTGTATTTTCGCTATATTTTCCAAAGTTAGCAAAACCGGCCTAAATAAAATAAAGTTCGATTTTCGACGAACTTCAAAGTTCAAAGTTCAAGTCAAAACTTCAAATGTGGTTCAAATTTCAAAGTTCACCATTCGGATTCTTTCAAAACAATCGCGATGATCAGAGATCTACATTTTGTTAAAACTAAAATAGACAAAGTATGGCAATATTTGGCGACAAGTGGAGACTGGAGAGTAGGAAGTTGGCAACTGGCAACTGGCAACTGGCGAGTGGCGAATTGGCGAGCTGCTGCCCGGCTGGTGAGTGGTGAGTGGCGAGTGGCGAGTGGCGACTGGTGAGTTGTGGTCCTTCTCACTTGTGTAAATATTTTGTTTTTTCTGTTGAAGTGAACTGACCAGTGACCACTAACTAGTGATCACTGATCAGTGACTAATGGCCAATGACCAGTGACCAGTAACTACTATGTAGCAACGAGTGACCAGTGACCAGTGACCAGTGACCAGTGACCAGTGACCAGTGACCAGTGACCAGTGACCAGTGACCAGTGACCAATGATCAGTGATCAGTGATCAGTGATCAGTGATCAGTGATCAGTGATCAGTGATCAGTGATCAGTGACCAATGACCAGTGACCAGTGCTGTGTTTTTATTTTTTATTTGATATATGTATGAGTAATTGAGAAGGCTATGAAATGTAGTAAAGAAACAATTACAAAAAGCACAAAAAAAGGTACGGCCCTCTGCTCGTGAGCATCCGACGATTTTTATAACTTTAAATGAAGGCCGAAGAAAAAGCCAAAAAGGGTTTGAAAAAGAAATTTCTTTTTATCTACTTGTTTTTGTAGAAATGAAAAGTGACATCAAAGTCATATTTTATTTTTTAGCCCTCTATATTATAAAATTAAACGAAGAGTGAGGCGGTTCTAAGTGTATATTTATTTCAGGCGAATCCCCCCCCTTTTTTGGGCTGGGCTCTTTTCACTTTGTACCCCGCATTTTTCAAATTGGACTATAGATCAGCGGACACACTGGTGCATTTAAAAATAAAACAAATTCACTTTTTAAAGCAGTGCTGTCGCTACAATCGTCAAGAGGGCGGGCCTTCTTTGGCGCGTTATTTGTTTATCTATATATGATAACATAGTGGTCACAACTATAAAAAAAGAGGAACGCGGAAAGAGCCCCCCCCCACCCCTCATTTTTAGGATCTTATTCGCCTGAATCATATCTTCATTTGGAACCGCCTGATCAAAAAGATCATTTATTTTTTATTTTTGTAAAACAAAATAGTATTTCTGAAAACGTGAACACCGATCCCGAGGTACGGAAATATTTAGTTTTTGCGTCCATAATTATATTTATTTATTTTGTTTTGTTTTTGCTAAAATTACATTCAATTTAGACGCGATTTTACGGTGCTGTGATTGCATACAACCCATATTTATGTCAAATTGACATCCGATTGAAAACCATGTTTCTACTGAATAGATTACAGTTTTTCTACAGCTGGTCTTGGAGTCTTGGAAATAACCAAACTTGCCTTTTTGAGCTGTAATTGAAAAACTAAAACATCTACCTTTTTTATTGGCTGAGGGTTTATAAAAAGCTTAATATTGGCTGTTTTTTAAAAAGAACGTAAACCTAAAACCGAACAGTCGAATACAATATTCCTATTGTTCAGACTTCAGAAGTTCAGAGTTCAGAGTTCAGACCAATGCCTAAACTTTGAAAAAACACGGGATCGGGGGATTTTCTCCCGCACTTCCCGGTGCCGCGCGCTGGGCCCCGCCAGGCGCCAGCCCACCTCTGGCCGCATCCGGCACCTCTGGTATATCATAGCTATAGATCATAGCCAATCAAAATAGAACTATGGCTCAATATGATGATTACCGGACGCCTTTTTTATTGCCTTTTTTGAGAGACATTTGCTTTCGCGTGAAAGCGATATCACGTATTTAAATCACATTGAGGGATAAATACTCATACTTCGTCTTCCAGACCCACCCGCATATAATATAAAAATAAATAAATAAAAACAAAAAAAAACAAAATCGCCGCTAAGGGAGTTCACATAAATCTAAAGTTAAATCGAGTTATACTCTCTATTTAATGCCTTACGTCGTTGCATCAATTCTCATTTTAGCTTCTTTAGAAACTCGCAAAACAACGAACAAGAAGGTGTTCTTATCACCAAGTAAGCTCTATACTATCTAGTTTGCACCATATTTTAATCATATACAATATACATATCAACACAATAGCGCAATGAAACGTGTAGGTAAAACGGTACATGAGGAGAAGGATTCATCTTGGTCTCCGCGTGGTTCGCTGAAAAAGGTAACTGCTACAATACGGGAGGGTATGCAAACCCTCACAGAGTTGGCTCAAGCCGCCTCAGTTACTACTTTAGATAGTGACGCATTTACATTCGACTTTTCGATCACCGAGGATGATCTCATCCCAGGCAAGACCGGGAGAGAGCTATTTTTGGATAAATTCAGTGAAAAGGATGTAGCCAAGTGGATGGAGGACAAGGGCGTGCTTGATATACTACGTAAGAAGGGATTCAAAGATTGTGTACTGGATTTTGATTTATCTGGGATGACCGTAGATAAATTTCGGATATATGATCTTGGGGTCAAGGTACCTGGGAAGAACGGTGTGCTATTGGACTGCAAAGACCCTCTTGCGGTGAAGCCAAGTGCCAAGAATAACATCATGCCATACCACCTAACCCATGATAACTACACGAGTACATCGCAGTACGATGACCCGGCTGAGAAGCCACCAAACGACATACCGCCCATTGTGGAAGCTGCTATACGCTTGAAATTCGATTTGCAGAAATCACATGCGATGAGAATGGCTACCGCCGGTGTAGAACGTGACGGGGATTTGATACTACCACGGTCAACGCACAGAGAGACATATGAGTTTTTGCATAAGCTTGAGGAAGCAGACGTAAACTTTTTGTATGTTGAATGGCTGCTACTGCAGAATGTTACAAAGGAGCTAGACGGACACCTTCACAATGCATTACCAGGTCAACTGTATCCAGGGTTGGGTATCATGGAGCCCATGGCAGAGATATTATTGACTAAAATAGTAGAGGGAAGGGACGTCGTACTGAACAATCCATTATATTTCCATAATGCAATTATGTATCGCGATCTGCCAGGAACCGTTTTCCTCAACCCAGAGTACGAAGGTGGGTCAATTGCGGTTGTGTCTTGGAATGAAACTATAGCTTCTGGAGGATGTATGTGATTTTTACACACACACACACACACACACACACACACGCGCGAACACACACATATATCTATTTAAATATAATATATATTTATATATACTATATATTTATATATAAAATATATTTATATACAATGTATTTATATATAATGTTTATATATATATATAAATACATAAATATATATATATATATATATATATATATATGTGTGTGTGTGTGTTATATATATATATATATATGTGTGTTATATATATATATATATATATATGTTTATATACACAAATATATATCTTATTATATAGATATATATATCTATATATCTCTAATATATATATCTAATATATATATATATATCTTTCCACGTAAAACTAAAGTATTTACGATGTGGTTCATATATTTGCAATTGATAGTATCCTTGTGTACACATATATATCTATTATATATTATATATATATATATATATATGTATTTACACACACACACACACATATATATCTATTATATATATATATACATACATATATATATATACATATATATATATATACATTTATTGCATTTACACTCATATATATATATACATATATATATATATATATACACATATATATATTACACACACA